TAAGACAAAAACTCTATATAAACGACACAGTAACAATCATCACAGCAACTTCATTGATAGCTTCAGTTACATTCCACAGTTGTACAATAACAAGGACCTATCGAAGACTACTGGGTGTACAATAACAAAGACCTGCAAGTACAAGTATATCACATAGTCGAGTCTGGAGACAGGCATTGCACGCTAAGGACGAGGCAACACCTCGCAAAACTTCCACTAGCATCTACACCTCTCATGGTCAAGAGAGAGAGCAAGCGGAGCATCTTAGTGAGGTGCTTTACCTCCCCTGCTGCACCTCTCACGATTAAGAGAGAGAGCAAGAAGAGAAGCATCTCAGTGAGGTGCTTTACCTTCCCTGCTGCACCTCTCACGATCGAGAGAGAGGCAAGAAGAGGAGCATCTCAGTGAGGTGCTTTACCTTCCCTGCTGCACCTCTCACGGTCAGGAGACAGAGAGGCAAGAAGAGGAGGCGTGGAAGAGAAGCACCGCTGTCGTCGCTGCTGCTCCAGAGGAAGGAGAGGATAGCTAGGGCACCGGACTGATGAATCAGCAGCAGCACAAGAAATATGCAGGGCAGAAAGGTGGCAACTATACATACAGGCATATCACCTTCCTAGCGGCCTTGCCCATATTGGATACCAAACTAGGGATACCAAAGTGAATTCAGTACCCCTTAGCTTGCCCAAATAAGCAAACCCCTTAATCGCAAAACTTCCACTAGCACCTAGATCGAGCAGCCCCCGTTGCGCCTACATGCCGGTAGTACCTAATCTTGAAGACCTTCTCCCAACGTTGCTGCTGCCGCAGGAGGAGTTGGAGAAGGAGCGCCATGGCGATGAAGAAAATATAGATGGTTGGCTCAAGATAGCTTTGTCTGTATCTATCTGTATCTAAGGAGGAAGGAGTGTGTGGATTGCCAAAAAGCACATCCAGCCCCGGCTTAAATAGGCTAACCTTGAAGATGGAGAAGCCGAGATGAGCAGTTAATACGCATTAGGGAAGACGAGGCATAGTAATGGTAATGCAACTGTGTTGTGGGTAGTTGAAAATGGGAAAATAACTCACGTTGAATTTACTACCGCCGGTACACCAAACAGTCGTGTAGGGCCGGCGGCCATAAAGACCTATCCCAGTCGGCTCGGCTTTTCATACAATGGAGAAAATACCACTGCCACATCTATTATTAACCAATTGGTGGTAGAAGTTTGAATTGCCGGTTTTCCTTCTTATGAGGCCTAGCTATCGGTCTAACCGGAGGTGGAAGTATAACACCGTCACTTCTATCGCTACAGTAGTGAAAATGACGATAGTGATAAATCAATCTATAGTAGCGTAGGAACACCAATTTATTAGGACAAAAACCAGAACTAGGACCTAATCGGCTTCGATCCACTTCAAAGACCAATCGTTTAATAGAACCAGCGAAAAAAGGCCGAACCATCGGGTTTAGAGAGAAATTGGCCAAAATTGAACGGACTTAGAACCACTAACGGTATAGAGACAGGGAGGGCACCGAGGAAGGTGTTCATTTGTGAGAAGTTGCCCCACCGAGCTATTACGTGTTGTTGATTTTGGTATAGATAATCAGAACATCCAGTGGAGGCCAATTTTTTCGCGGAAGTCCGAGAAGGCGTGTTTGGAGAGAGAGAGAGAGATTGATCAGTTCAACAAGTGAGGGAGAGATGAGAGCATGACCAGTGAAGGGATAACGTGAAAAGAAGAGAAGGTTTGGGCAAGAACAAACAGCAGTGAATGAGTAATCACCAGAGTTTTTCATCTTTTGACCAACGACAGGTCCTACATGCCAGAAACAATTAAAATGATAAATTTGATTTGTAATCACATAAATGTTTTTTAACTATATGTTAGCAAACTAATCTACCACACGTTACTATTATGTGTCCTATCTTGCTATAATCACGGCTGCTCTCCGTGCTTGTTTATTCCTGTCTTGCTCCCGCCACGAACAATCTGTCTATTAATTATATTAAATTGTTACTAATTTTTCCTTTACTCCTTGCAAAAAAAAACTTTACACACATATTTATTTGTTAATTAAAATTTGATGTTGTAATAAAAATAAGTATTCATCTCTTTTAATCACACCTCATGTTTTAGCCTATGCTATAATTCCCACGCTCCAAACACCTTGTCTATATGTTTCATATGTTTTTTCATTCCTCTGTTTTTCACAACACCTACATCTCATTCTTGTGTTTTCTTATTTTCTTCTATTTTCTATTCATTTGTTCCAAACAGGTTCTGAGTTTGGATCAGAGATCCAAAATCTCTGAGTTTGGATCGGAGCTCCAAAATCTTCCTAGATGTCACACCATTCATGTCATGGACTAGCCACCTAAGCCTGTTCACGGGTGGCATATGTGTGCGCATGTGGCTCGTCTTCCCCTTTCTTGAACTCACGTCAGCAATTGTACATAAGCCACATCAACATTCTATTAATTTTTCATCTAAGATTAATCATTTATTGCATTGGTATTTATTATGTGTTTTGGAACTTATTTGATGTAAGGTTGAGCCAAGCCCAATTAAATCTAACGAAAAAAATACTAGTTTATTATCATTCGCATGAGCACCTCTCAACAAATTGTAACGCACATGCATAATTGTTGTGAATCTAATCAAACTCGGCGATATATATTCATTTTCGATGAATTTTCATGAAATCTTCGACGTGCGTACTTGTTAGATTGCATGCTATATACGCCAAGTTTGGCTCGGCCATGTTGGCACCAACGTGGCAGGTTTGGTTTTAGACGAAGAATAACTGTTATACAGATGCAGATCCATATATCTCGGCTATACACACAGAACATTGGAACCATTTCTTGAAATAGTTCTACTTGGGGCCTATTTGTAAAAATAAAGTTTACGAAAAGGGTCAAATTGGAAAGAAACGCTCAGAGTTCGCCCCTGCCATTTCTTCTCCCGTTCCGCTCTCTCGTGACTGGTCGACCGCCGACGCCCTACGCCAGGTGCCCAAGTCTTTGTCGTTCCCTTCGCCAGGTCTTCGTCGCGTCCTTCGCCGGCGACGAGCACCCACCAGGTATACCCACCCTTTCTCTTCCATTCCTGCTTGCGAAACCGGGTACCGGAACCCTAAATTAAGCTATTTGGCTATTTATATTCGGATCTGATCTAATTACAATTGTATACTTGACTACTAACTTCGATTTATTTTGCAAAAATTACTTGGTGTAAAAGTGTAATCCCATGTCGTTTACTGGGTCCGCCCGCCCCTGCCTTCGCATCGTTATTCTCATGGGTCATGGTTATGCTGAAACGCCACTTTTTATAATTGTACAAAAGAAGCTTCGTACATTTGGTGTACCTTATGCGTCAATCTGATATCCGAATACGTGATTGTTCTTGCTATCCAGCCTTGTGGTTTCCACAATTCTTGATTTGACATACACATACAATACCAAAGATGCTTATGTGCTGTCGGGAGAGGTAGGTTCTTTTTAGTTTTGGAATACATCAGACATTGGTACCTGATCTTGCCTTCCGTGGATTCTCTTGCTATTGTTAAGCTCCTTAACATGTTTACCCCCATTAATTATATGTGAGATTCTTTTTCAATATAATTTTTTGAGGAGTTTGTTTGTATTGTATTCAAATGGTTGGCTCCTAGTGTATGTTTTTCATTTCTAACTTCAGTGGTGCTTGACAGTGCTCCTATGTTCATAAGGTTTAAAATATTATCTCTCATACTTCAAATGAGCTACTGGTTTTCTCTTATCCACAAGATACACTTACCTTCAGAAAATCGTTCCCCCAATGAATTCTCTGAATTTTATGATTTATTGAACTTAACAAAGCTAAACTTAATTTCCCCAAATGCTAGATGATTATTAAAACTTGACCTGTAGGGGGTAAGACAGCCCCTGGGCATTGCATTAAGAAGAAGACCTTCTCACACAGGTCGAGCAAACCCTAGAACCCTGGCCCCACCCATACACATCGGCACCGTAGCCCATGTGAGAACGACCACGGCCGGGGCCGGGCCTTAAACCTATGCTTTGGCGTGGAACAGACGAGGGGATTTTTTTTTAATCCCAGACTAGAAATTCGCTCCCACGGGGAGTAGAACCTAGGACACGAGGAGTGCTACTCAAGCCACCTAACCAACTCAGCTAGAGGCCCTTTCACAATGATTATTAGTGGTTTACATGTTCATGTGTTATGGCTGGATGGTTGGTTATAGTAGATGGGGATGGCAGAGATAAACTGAACTCACCCTCCCTCTGGAGATTCTAAATCTTATGTTTATTCTTGCTTAATCTCAACAGTACAGTTATGTTGATCTCATAGGTATAGAGCCGACCCTAACAAACTTGCTAACCAAACCAATCTAGATCGACAAACTATAATTGACTCAGTCTCAAACAAACTTAGCCACTAGTGGATGCCTGGAGTCTTCTTTGGTCTGCGCCTGTAGGTCTTTCCCAGGAAGGGGTCCACAAAAACATTATGAGATTTGTTGCACTGTATTTGGATCAGTTAACCTCATATTATATTTTTTGTGTATACAATTTGTTCTCTCTTTTTGTTTGCTTCTATTCAGACATATATATTGCAAGGCAATTGCTCCCTACCTAGTAATTCATCTCTCACAAAGTTTAACAGAAAGTCTAACACTGGACCTACTTTGTACTGTATTAAGTAAGCTTATTTCTGATGCTCGTTGGTTCCTTGTTAAGGTTGCTTTCACTTTTTAATGCTGTGCCAACAAGGAATGTTTCAAGACCTTTTAGTATATAGCTAATAGCTAATAATGCCCTCACTTCTGCTATTGTTTTCTTGGAGTCATTCCTTTGCTTCTTCATGAATATGAGATGGTTTTCATTATTTTGCAGTGTCACCTTGGGACTGGCAGCATGTTATGTATGACAGTATGACTAGCAATTTCTGATTACATGGTCAATTTCTGAGATTTGTTTAAGATTGTCTATAAAGGACATTGACTTCTTGTAATAAATATGGGAGCTAATTGCTGCATAGCTGCCAAGGAAAGTTCTCAGCCATCTATGGCTCCAGTTGAAGTTTCTACATACCGGGTAAGGCACTCACCATCATGGAGCTTCCGGTGGGACAACCGTACACACATAGAGGATATAATGGAGAACAGTACGGTGTTCTCTAATCAAAGTAGTGGAAACATTCATCCAGAAGTAAAGAATAGTTTCATTACACCAACTGAAGGCCATAACAGTGGGGATAGTCGTTCTGATGTCCTCTGTAGGGTCAAGTGGCAAAAATCTGACAAAAAGATGGAAGCATCCAAGCTCTCAAAATTTGATCCTCCAGGTATAGGCTTGAAATACTTCTTTGTCTTGTGTTTAGTATTTACTCCTGTCCTGTGTTCCCGTTCCATGTACTGTCTGAATACATGTATCAAATTGCATGGATTTCATATTACTGACTGAATGGTTATGGGTATGTACTGTCTGAAGAGGAATACATGCATGCTACAATGAAATGAAGTTGATTTCCTCATTGCTTAATTTTGTGTTTCTTGTTCTTCTCCTTGAGTCAAATCATTTTTTTCCCAGTGCATGCTAAAATGATAAAAACTCAAATGCCACATATCTTGATACCTTTAAATTATCAAACTTGCAGTTCAAACATATCATAAGCTAAACCCATATAGTGACAAATAACCAGCCTGCAGAGGTTCTGTTGCCTATGGGAACAAACAGCTAAGCACTGGAGAAATAGATCGTTCTTTGTTGACATCTCTTTTCATGTTTTCAGCACATCAGTCTACTGCAGCCAATCCAACTCTTGAGGTATGTGGTACTGGGCATTTGTGCAGTCTCGTATCATTCTCATTTCCAAATTAGTAGATGTGATTATTGAGCTATACAATCGTTTCTAATGATTATTTCCATTGCTGTTTCACCGTCTTGTGCAGGCTAAGTCTTCTAAAGCTCCTGACATAGTAACTGTTGGTTCAGATATAAAGACATCAGAGTCTCTTCCTTCAACACCGCCCCCTGTACCGAAGGCAGATTCAGAAGATCCTTCCTCTAGAAGTCATTCAATTTGCATTGACCCAAATTCGACAAGGGAAGCAACCCAATTGCCTGGGCATCAACTATACAGGCAGACCTTGGATGGAAACATTCCATCCCTCAAACTTTTAAGTGGAAACAGCTCTGCAGAAAGGCCATCAAGCTCCAAGCTTTCTGCCTGTAGCAATGATATGTTTGCAGGGCAGTTGCAAGGTGAGACATCTGATGGGTGGTCAACTCGCACACCCTCTGATATGGTGGCCACAACTGAAAGACATAGGTGGTCTGTTGACAATGAGCTCCTTGGCTCCATTGCTAGTAAAACATCAAGATCAAATGGTTCACATCCCAGTGCACTCTCCCCTGGCCAAGAGGTATGCAAGCTATGTTCGAGGCTATTAAAGGAGCGGTCTTCATGTAACGGTCATGAACTGGCAGTAGTTGCTGTTTTATTCTGTGGTCATGCATATCATGCAAATTGTTTAGATAGTATTACTGCAGAAAGTGAGAAATATGATCCTCCTTGTCCTGTATGCACCCATGGTGAGGCATGTACAGTAAAGCTGTTCAAAAAGATGGAACTGAAGGTTAAAAACAAGACATCGAAAAATATGGCTGATACTGATCTTGATGGGAGCTCTAAGCGCCAGAAGAAAGTTAAGAGAGAACCCAGGTTTGGCAAAAGTTCTAGCATGAAGAATACGTTTAGTCGTCCGTTTTTTAGGAGACATTTCTCCAATGGTTCTCGACCATCAACACCAGTTTCAGGGAGTGAACCAACAAGAAAGAAGGGATTCTGGTCAAGGCATTGGAGAGAATAGCCAGCTTGACATCATTCAATGTGGAGAAAATCATAGTGCCTTATCTTTTCATGTTAATTTACTAGGGCATGTCTGCTGCTGTGAGCTCCTGATAAGCAATGATCGTAGGCAAACTGGTGCAAGGGTTTGGTCTGTCTGAGCTGGCCATACAATATATATGATTCTGCAGTATTCATATCGTAGAAGCACTCATTGTGCTAGCACAAATGTAGTGTGTAAAATTATGTCTTATAGTAAGCAAGTATGCGACCAAGGGTGGTTGTTTTCGTGCAGACAATAGTCATAGTCAGCAGTATAATAGAACAGAAAAAGGGTATAAATTTCAGGAGGGTATCATGCTGTGTTGAAAGGTTGAAATACAGCATGCTATATTATTTTCTCTGCACCTTCTATATCTGTAATATTTATTGTTGGATTATAGACATAATCTGGAAATCGTTAGCACACAGATTGCTGTTGAATTGTTATCTTATTGTTGCAAGCTGCAACCAGTTGGTGAAACATTTTTTATTGTTTGGGGACGTTCTGGTTCCATCCCTGATTTGGAGAATAGGATGTTCCCATTATGTGTTTTGTTGAGAAGGATAGGCCCATCATGTTTTCTATTTGGTTGGGGTGATTTAGGCAAGTGGGATGGACAACAATTAACACCATTAGTCAGTCGGGCTGATTGTCGCCTGCCCGGCGCTGGGTGGGCGCCGGGTGGCACCTGTCATCCTCTCATACATCCCGCTTTCACTTCTTTTTCCCTTGATTCTTCATGCGCCTCATGAACTTCACGCTAAACCGCGTCTTCTTGTTCGTCACCCTGAATCATGACGCCAAGCACTCGAACCTCAGCTGCCTAGCTTTCTCTGCCTTGACCTTAGCCACCTAGACCCGTCCGCTTTGACCTCTATCGCCTAGGGTGGCACATGGACTAGGTCGACTTTAGTGTCGGCTCTAAAGCGCCACATCGTCGAGCTGAACTTGAGTCCCGATGGAGTCGTGTTGCTACCATAGGTGATCGACCTCAAGAACTCGCCGCCCGTGAAGAGGACGTTGCGAACGACCCGTGATGACAAAGAAAAGGGAAGCGCATGTCCCTTCATTTTCTGAGGATAGGGTGAACCTACATCATAGGATATATTCCTCTAAGGGATGAATCACTTATTGTCTTCAAACCAAACACATGTGAAAGAGGGACGAAACTAGCCAATCTCTCTTTGACCTTGCAACCAAACACAGAGTAATTGGAGTTTGAGGAGTTAAAGTATAAATTATTGTGATATTTATTTTGAAATGTAAGTCACACAGTGATGTTTGTTGAACATGAAGCTTATGTTCACTATAACCTTGAATTGGTGTCCTCTAGCCATAGTTGTCAAATCTGTGAATCTATAGTGTGATTTTATGGCTTTATGATCTTAATTTATTAGATTGATTCTTTGATTTTATTAAGTAGAATTTATGATTTTGTGATTCCACTAATTATGATCCTACAATTTGTGACCCTTATCTATGCATGTGGGTGTAAGACCGAATGGCCCAAGAGGAGGATGAATTGAGCTCTGAAAATTTAAAGTGATAAACCTTAACATATGAAATTTCTACACCCCCAAACAACACAGCTCCAAATGTATTTAAAAGACAAGCTAGTCAGTCCTTATAGGCAACAAGCTAATCATGTCCTTAGCAAGGTTCACATTAAGATTAATGTTCTTAAGAGCAAGAATGAAACCTATGCTAAGCACACACTAACTTAAATCCTAGTTGTCACTCAATGAGACTTGACAAGCAATGAATGTAAAACAAGTATGAAAGAGGAAGGCAAAGTTATCGCAAAGAGATAACTGGATTTCTCCTTGATATTGGGTTGTTGCCATAATCCTCTAATCCACCTTGGAGCAACTAAGTCACAAAGATTTGGTTACAGGTTCCACTTATGAATACCCGTTCACCACTCCAACACGGTGGGTTTCACACCATGTACAAGCTCTCCTTGGAGCCTCCTCAGAATAGCTCCACTAAGGAAGGTCACCAAGTCCTTCATCGGGTCATCTAGGTGCTGGCAAACACCAAAAGTAACAAGTCTTCAAGATACTCCTCAAGAAAACCCAAGCATGCACACAGATAGTTGAAAGTGTCAGTTTGGTTTTGGTAATTGAGTGACAACATTAGTGGACTAATGTACTTCATGTGAGATGATTAGGTGACTTACTCCACAAGCTTGTCTTGAACAACATGAAGGTCATTGAGGAGGTGGCTAGGATCATGAAGTGCAAGGGCTCAAGATGAGAGGTGATGGATGGATATGAGATGGATGAAAGAAAAGCAAGGCAAAGGTGTAAGATAGGTTTGCTTTCACCGGCCTAAGGTGATTAGAGAAGTGATTTAGTCAGGTTTAGTATAGATAGTCGTACTATAAAGACGACAAATTTTTTTGTGAGCCCTAGATATCCATATGAATAGATCTTGATGACATTCCACAACTAAACTAGCATTATCATGTGTTCCTACCTTCCAATCTTTAAATCTTTCGACAGAACAAGATGTGATTTAGGCATCCACTCGGTGTATCATACGATCACTGTTGCTTTTATTAGAAGACTGCTGAATTTTCTTCCATTACAGGTGGTTTGATTCAATTAAATCACCGGAAGCCATAGGCCCTTTCAGTATGTGGTCTATGTTGCATTCATTCCTTGCTTTTGTGTTGCCACTAGGCGAGGTCTAACATTACAAATGTATTAATTAGATCAAGTGGTGTGGTGAGGAAGCAAGAGAAAACCTTTCAAAATGTTTTGCAAATGCTATAACTCAGTGCTAAAGATATTGGTTGTCTAGTGGGACACCTATTGGAGTTAGCCAAATTGTAAAAGGTTTGAGAAAAGAGTTTGGTAGAGTGTTTTTACACTCACTGGAGCTTTCAAGTGTGCACAAGAGCTTTGACACAATGCTCCAAGCTGGATTAGTCTGATTGTCGCATAGGGCACTGCAGCTGTCATGTGCGCACTAAAGTTGCATGCACCAGAGTTTTGGAATAATGCTTTGACTTAGTGAAAGGATTGGTTGATGGCTCGAGGGGATGAATAGCCTATTAAAAATTTACAAGGCACAAACACAACTAGATACAATAGTTAATAACAAAGGTGAGCCCTAATAAGCACTACGACCCTAGTCTAAGCAAGACCAAGCTCTACACAAGACTAGAACCAAGACTACAAACTAGCAAGCAACTAGAACAATTAACTAAGGCTAAGCTCAAGCACACCTACACAATTCTGGCGAGAAGGTAAACAACAAGCTACCACTAGAGCAAGCAATCTACTCGAGTTAAGTACAAGAGCTACAAGAGCGACTCGATTACTCTAGAAGCTACAGAAGAAAAGGATTGCACAAAGTAAAGAACAAGTGTAGTAGGGAATAAACCACAGGGGAGACAAGATGGCATAATATTTTTTGTAACACCTCTGGTGTTTTGACCTAGCACTAAAATTTGACATGTCATCATATGCATTGCAAAGCATTCATGGAGTAGAAAATTTTGAATGCATTCACTAAATAAGCTTTATTTCATAATGTTGTTAGTTCATGTGATGTGTTTCAAAACCCTAAATAAAGATCATGACCACAAGGGGTCAAATTTCATGTGATCATGTGAGGCCATGTGTCATTTGACTCAAATAACCCTAATGGGCCATGTTACTGGTCAAAAATCAAAGTTAAAGTAAAAGGAAGACAAATCAAATTTGAATTCAAATTCAAATTATAAAAGTCCTTTTTGCCCCTTTTGACTAATTCAAAATCCATGTGGAATTTGGGGTTGAGGCAAAAAGCAAAGTTGAAGATTATTTTATAAGGGTCAACTTTAGTATTCAAAGTTTTTCAAGTTTACATATAAAATTTGGAGTAATTTTGAAATAATTCAAATACTCAAATGCACCCCAAATTCAAATTTCAAAATGGAGGCAGAATTTGAAAATGTTCCTTGAAGCAAAGTTGTAGAGTTTGAAAAATTGAGCAACTTTCATTTTTGGAGATTTTCAACTTCTTTAGAAAATTTGTGAGTAATTTGCAAAATTGATGCCAGTGGCAATTCTGTAAATATATCAAAATTGAAATTCGGCCGAGCGCCACCTCTCTGCTTGTTGCTTGCCGGTACACTTGGATGTCGCCGCCGATCAGATTGCGCCGCTTCCTCGCGCATTGACACACGGTGGTGGTGCCGTGGCGGGTCCGTTCGTCTTGTTGTCGACGCCGAAAGCAACCCCTTCCGCTTATAAATAGCGGCGGCCGCCGTGCCGTCGTCCTTGTTTTTTCCCTTCGCTTCTGCCGCCCAACGCCACTAGCTCCGTCGCTCACCGTAGCCATCATCGAGCCGCATTCGTCGTGCCCACCTACGCCAACGAGATCGCCTCGGTCTTGCGCTTCTCTGTGGCTTGCTCACGTCGCTTAGGTTGGCGGAATCGCTCGGTATAACGTCTTCTTCCCCGAGCCCGGTCGAGACTCGCCACCATCGACTCGGACGCGGGCTGGCCGTTCGCACCGTCTCCGTCTTCACCAAAGCGTCACGGCGTGACCGTGGTGAGCTCTTGAACGCGATACTCACTTTGTTTTAGACTCTACTACGCCATTACCGGGGTTACGCCGTGAGCCATCGTGCTCAAGCCGCCATGGCCAGCGTGGAGTCTTCTCCGGTGCGCCTTCTTCTGCCATTCAAAGGGCGGGGATGGGTTCGTAGGAGTGTGTAGACCATTTGGGTGTGGTCTGCGTCGCCGGAGCGTCACCGTCGGAGCATTTTGGGCCGGCCAATGATGGTAGCGCCGCCGTGACCTGTATGAGTCACTGACGAGTGGGGTCGGGCTGTCAGTGAGAAGGAAGGAGAAGAACAGTGAGGTTTTATTATTTTCTGATTTTAAATAGTGCTGAAACTTTGGAAATTTATAGGAAATTAATCATAACTCCAAAAATTCTGAAATTTTGTGTGTAGCTTTTGGACATGCTCTAGTATGGTTTAA